GGCTCCAAAGGTACACAGAGAAACCCTGCCTCAAAATACCAAAAAAAAAAAATATTTTCATAGTCTAGAATAATGATTGACACCATACTCTAATTTCTTCCTTTGGGTCTTGAATATCTTTTGTGACAGAATAGTAATCATTCAGTGAGAACCCTATCTACCAAATCAAAATGTGTTCTAGTGTTGCAGAATATGATTTTAAGGTGTGTTAACTTTTGTTTATATTGCATTTGTTTTTTTTTTTTTTTTTTTTTGTTTTGTTTTTTCGAGACAGGGTTTCTCTGTGTAGCTTTGCGCATTTGTTTAACTCTGTAAAGCTGTGTTACTTTGCCTGTCTAGAACACCTGATGGTCTAATAAAGCGCTGAGCGGCCAATAGCAAGGCAGGAGAAAGGATAGGCAGGGCTGGCACGAATAGAGAATATACAGAAGGAGAAATCCTGGGGGAAAAAAGAAGCAGCCAGAGAAGGAGGAGGATTTCAGGGGCCAGCCACCCAGCTACACAGCAAGCCTCATGTAAGAGTAAGATTCACAGAAGTAAGAGGATGGGAAAAGGCCAGAGGCATAAGGATGATAGGATAATTTAAGATAAGAATAGTTGGCTAGAAACAAGCCAAGCTAATGCAGGGCATTTATAAGTAAGAATAAGACTCTGGTGATTTATTTGGGAGCTGGGTGGTGGGCCCCCCAAAAGACAAAAGAGCAAAACAACAACATTTCAAGTAAGAGTTGGAACATTTTGACATATTAGACTTAATGCAGGGCCAACAAAAGCAAGCCTTAGGCTTTATTCTAATAAAAGATCATTATCCGTATGAAGTGCCGTAGCCACAGATTTTACCCAGGTCTTGGTTTCCACTTTGCAAGTGAGTGTCTGGGATTCCAAGGAACAGTGACCCTAGAGAATTTGCTCTATGCAAATCCCTGGCTGCTATTAGGCAGATAACTCAGCTTCTTCATCTTTGAGTGAACTTGAAGCGGTGAGGCAGTGAGGGAGCTGAATTGGACAATTAGAAGATGTTGTGATTCAGTAAGTATTCCGTTCCATTCCAGGATGAATGTTCTAGACAGAGCTAGAACAAAACTAGTCCAGAGTTTGCTCCTTTCAAAGGACACTGTACATAAAAAATGTCTCTGGCTTCATATGAACGATCACTCAGCTCTGGGCAGTAAGGCAGCTAGAGGATCCCTTCAGCAGGGACCTCATTCTTTAACAACAGGTCCCTCAGCTGGTCGGAGCTACTCATCCTGAGAGATGTGAGTGGCAGCTACTGATGACTGTGTCTTGACATAACTGAACCCCAGAGAACGTATGAGGAAGAGCTTGAGAGAGAGGTAGGAGCAGTTTGAAAATACATTTACTGTCTAGTCTGTTCACGCTGCTATGGCAAAATGCCAATGTCTGGGGGACTTATCAACAACAGACTGATTTTTCTCTCAGTTCTGGAGGCAGCTTTGGTGTCAATCATGGAGACTTCTAGCATCATCATTGTGTGGTAGAAAGGTTGAGTGATTTTTTTATAGGCTTCTTTACACTGATTTAAATCCCATTCAGAAATGCTCTGACCTCAAGACACCATCGCCTCCCAAAGGCCCCACCTGCTAATATCATCACTTTGGGGGTACACATTTTACATATGGATTAGGGGTCTGCATAATATTCTGCCCTAGCCATTTACCTTGGATTGTTTTAGATTATTAACAAAACTTTTTAAAACCAATTAAATAAAAATGCATCACAATACTGGGGGAATTTCTGCAGCATTATCAAGTCTTTGTGAGCAGGTGTTTGTACAAAGCCTCACCAGTGCAAGACGGACCACTCACTGCTTTCTGTACACTGCCACGCTTTCTTTTGGGTGGCACATATGTGTCCAATACACCCTGTAACTGTGGAGGAAAGTTGAAAACTATCGTTTGCAGGTCTCTTTGAAGGTCTTCTGTTAAACGGTGGGTGTTCGTGTCATTCAGGTATTACTCTTTGCCCTGGTGTTTCAGTGCTAAGTCCGGGACCGAGGCTCATCTCTGTGGCAGCTGTTTGTCAGTATTTACTTATCCAGCGAGCTAGTTCAGTGGCACACTAAAGGAAAACAAGTAGTAGCGTCCAAGCTCCTCTGTTCCCCATTCCTCCTACATCTTCTCTTCTGGTTTGGAGACCACACATGTCTGAGGTCCAGAAGTGCTGTTTGATACGGTTCTGGCTTGTTACCACATGGGTGACATCGAATGCCCTTATTGATTTACGCCTGATTGGTCTAACCTGGATCAGGATCAGCCTGATAAATGGTACATCTTATGGTCAGAAATATGAGATGTGTTTCGACAAGTCACTCTTAGCCATCAGCTCTCTAAGGAAAGACAAAGGTGGCTTTCTCTTGCTTTTTCCTTTCTTTTCCTTCCCAATGCTCCTCCTTTTCTCCCTTGGCTATTTACTTGAAATATCCCCCCACCCCAACAATATCACTGAAATCCCAAATCCTTCCTTTGGGCCTCTGAATCCGAGGCCAGTTGAGTCACTGTCTGCAGACTGAGTGAAGGATGTTGGAAGGAAGTACCATTACATGGGTTAAGGGGAGGGTCAGAGACCTGAAGTGGGTAGCTGGATTATAGGACTCCTGTGTTGAGAATCTCCTTTTAAACTATCCGAAGGGACAGTGTTCAGTACTGCAAGCTTGGAGTTAGGACAAAGGAATATAATTCTAGGTTTTACTTGCCTTTTTATTTTATTTTATTTTATTTTTTTAGTGAAATTCAAGCTTCCCCAGAATTCCCACCTGAAGTCCTCTCCTTGTTTCCATGTCAGCTCCTTGCTTGCTACATTTGCTCCCCAGCCTGCTCGCCTTCCTCCCCCAACAGCTGGACACATCACCATCCCATTTTTCTATTGGTTGTGACTGAAGTAGCTTGGGGTCAATTATTTCCCCAGCAATTGACAAAGAATCTTGATGAAGAGGAAAGTGACATTGTCCCTTACACAGCATTGCTACCCCCCCTCCTCGATCCTCCTCCCTCTCTTTTGGCAAGGAGCCCAGCAGGGTAGTGGCCACTCGGTCTGTGGAAGTGAGTGGATAACATATGGGAAGTGCAGAAAAGATTTTTATTCACGGCGAAAGAGCAGAAGAGTCAGAGGCAGCCGGTCCGCAGAGAGACTGCATGCAGGCGACACAGGCCTGATATTTTGTCTTTGCCTAGATTCAACAAAGAGTGTAAATAGAGTTTGGTTTTGTAGCTCTCCCTCACTCCTATACTTCGTTGAAGGTTCGAATCCTTTGCAGTCGCAAAGGGATCATGGGTTCAGTAAGCTTCGTGAAAATATGACCCGGGACGCTCCAGAACCTTTCCCCTCCCCCAGCTTCTGCATTCAAAGGCCAGAATTCAAAGCCCTCTCCCTGGTGCATGCGCCTTAAGCCTGTTGGTGGCTTTTGTTATTTTGACTGGGCCACTAGGTAAGCCAAGCGAGCTTACTGGTTGAGTAGACATTTGGGGCGACTGGTACTTGGGAAAAGACAAATGATTGATGGTTGTTAGGTGCCGCGGTCCTAGCGCTTCCAAGAGAGAATTTTGCATTGCTGCTTCCTAGGAGAGGTAAAAAGCTCTTTTTGTCTCCCAACCCCCATGGCTAGAGGGTGTCCCAAGTATCACCGGCAGAAGGGACGTCTGCGGGGAGAGTGGGTCGGATGCAGCAAGACTCATTCACGCGTGACCTCCATGCACCCGCCACGCGGAGGACAGCCACTCGTGCCCAAGGTCTAGTCTCGATCAGGCTCAGCTGCACATTCGAGCTTTGGGTGCGTGGGGTAAACAGCACTCGGACCGTAGTGGAGGCAGAGCAAACCGAAGGGAGGCCATTTCTTCTTTAGCGTTGGAAAGCTGCCCTGCTTCCTGGGTACACAAGGACTGGGAAGCCTTGGAGAACACCCCTGGCGGTGGCTGGACTCCATGCCTTACTATGTTAACTCTTTGGGGCAGGTGCTTGTTCTCTGGTGCACCCCCATCCCCACCCCCATCCCAGTTGCCGAGAGACTGGGATACAGGTGCCTATGAGTCGTCTCTGGGGAAGGGGTCCCCCATAGGACCGCTTTGAGATGCTGCCAGTTAAGGAGCGTCCTGCTGCACAAAGGCCACGCTTAATGGATTCTTTCAGATAAAAAGAGCCCTGCTACCTTTCTTTCCTATAATGGCCCCTGAGGCTAATGTCTTACAGAGGAAACAGAAGGATTGTTTTACAGCACACAAGTGGGGCAGGCATGCAGGAGATTGGGACACAGAGCACTGGATACTGGGAGAGGTGGCCTCAGCTTCTTAACCCTTCCCCTCCTGCAGCCCCCAGGTCTCCTTCAGTCTTTTACTTTGCACCTACCACCGGGAATGCGCACGAGTCGGTCCTGCCTGGAGGGGACCGTGCCCCTGGGGCTCGCCTGCCTCTTTCTTTTCACTGTTTTCTTGCAGAAACGGAAAAGGGAAAGATCACGGGGCCCACAATTGCTTTTGCTACAATTTTGGAAGGCAATCGGAGTAAAGCGGAACATTTCCCTCAGGCCCAGAGTGACCATGCAGAGCTACCTGGATTCTTGGACGGTGGAGACACAGGGTCCCAAGCAGCGTGCACTGCGAGCACCTAACAGAGTTGCAGAGAAGTCTGTCAGTCTTGCTCTAAGGGCCCAGGCAGCATCGAGTTGCAGCCTGCATTGCACCTGGGAAGCTGCTCCAAGGTCACCAGGTGTAGGCAGCCTTCAGGTGTGAGATGTGTCTGCGTCCGGGTGTGAGCGGAAGATTACATTTGCAAACTCCCATGGGGGGTGGGGGGCAGAGAGAGAGTGAGAGACAGAGACACACTCGGGGGTGGGGGGACGGACCCGGGGAGACACACACACACACACACACACACACACACAGTGAGTGTCATGGCTTCTTCTGCCTCCTGCTTTTTGTTCTGGCTCCAGATTATAAAAATAGTTAAATAGCAGTTGGAGACAAACGATGTAAGAAAAAAAAAAAAAACCCTTAACAACAAAAATGCCCACAGGGATGGTTTTAAAACCCTTTATTATGGAAATCCACTGCTTACACAAAAAGGGAGAGAATGATATTTATTCAGTGGGTCTTCAATTTGAGGGTGTATCGGAGTAGCTGAGCAGAAGCCTCTGGAGGGCTTGTTAAAACACTGATTGCTGGGCCCTACCCCCAGAGGTTATTTTATTTGGGAGACCTGGGTTTGGCCCCAGCTTGAGACTTTGCAACTTGTTAGAATTCCCAGGTGCTGCTGCTGGCTGCAGAGATCCTTATGTAACTCTCTCCTGGTTTCAGCGAGTGTAACACGGTCTCCATTGTAGGGCCTCTGTCCCCTCCCCCAACTTGCTTGGCTTGGTAGAGAGTTTTGAAGCAAATCTCAGTCATTCTGTCATTTTGCCCAGGTGAGTGGTTTTTAATTCAGTGGTTAAATAGAGAGGACTATGAACTATGGGAAATAGTAGAAAAGCCTTTCATAAGCTCCAGAAGTCCCACTGCCCTTTTGGTCATTTCACTGGGGAGAGGAGTCTAGCACTTCTCTATTAAAAGCCAAGCCTCTCACTCAGTCTAAGAGTGCTTGCCTAGCATGTGTGAGTTCCTGGGTTCCAGCCCCAGAGTCTAAATAAATAAATATGGCAACGCCTTCTTGTTGGTGCCATGGGCCGCAGTTCTCAGCTCACATCCTCCTCCTCGGTGTGTACTATGGCTTTGCGGTCCCTTAAAATGTTTTTCTAAAAGATACCTCAAAGGTTGGGATTTTGAGCTACTTTTTGTTTTGTTTTATTTATTTATTTTTTTTCAAGACAGGGTTTCTCTGTGTGTTGTAGCTGGAGTTTTCCTGCCTGGCCCACAGTCAGGGCAAATCTCTCACCCGCCAGTCCCAAGCCGCTCAAACCCGATCAAGTAAACACAGAGACTTATATTGGTTACAAACTGTATGGCCGTGGCAGGCTTCTTGCTAACTGTTCTTACAGCTTAAATTAATCCATTTCTATTAATCTATACCTTGCCACGTGGCTTGTGGCTTACCGGTACTTTACATCTTCCTTGTCCTGATGGCGGCTGGCAGTGTCTCCCTCACCCAGCCTCTTGTTCTCTCAATTCTCCTCTCTTAGTCCCGCCTATACTTCCTGCCTAGCCACTGCCAATCAGTGATTTATTCATTGACCAATCAGCAACACATTTGACATATAGACCATCCCACATCACTTCCCCTTTTCTTTTCTTAAAAAGGAAGGTTTTAACCTTTACATATCTCCAAAGTCAGCTTGGTATATTTGGGAATTTGGGCGTAGCTTCTCTTACTACTTCCTGCTGGAGGGGGGCGCTGTATCTTCTGGGGAAACAAAGAAAATTTTAGGATCATGGAGTAGTCCGTGAGGCTGTATCATCTGAGTCAGTTGTCTTGAAACGGTTCTGGATGTTGGATCATCTGGGCCATGGTGTCATCGGAGACCTTTCAGGGGGTCTTGGCTGGTCAAACCTGATGTATCTTACTCTGGAACAAATCCATAGCCTCTGGCTTTCTGTGGAAACAAAAGAGACTCTTTTCCAAAGCAACATATCCTTACATCCAAATTTTGAAGTCAAAGTATCTTTAAAATATACGTACTGGTTTAACTCAGCTTCCTTTACAATCAAACATCTCTCTGTAGTTAAGAATCCCAAAGACAACACAATCCAGACTCTCTGTGTAATAGTCATCTCTATGTGGCTTATTTTTTATATTAATTTGACTGTCTCTTTAAAGACTTTATTTTTTAAAACCATGTATTTGTTTCTATACTGTATATATCACCTTTTTTTGTCTCTTTCAAGCCTACGTATATTTTACACACATTTTAAACTATTACATCTGAATCTGTCTTATTGTAAACCTGTTGCTTTAAATTGCAGCCTTCTAAGCCTGAAACGGCACTGTGGCTGCTGGCTCCGCCCACTTTAGCTTCCCAACATGGCGGTTACCGCCAGCTCTGGGAACCATCAAGTCTCAGAAATAGTGGGTCTACGCTTTTATCAAAGCAGTGTGTAGCCCAGAAACCTCTTTTTTTGTTTTGTACTAACAAAGGCTAAATCCACAATGTAGCTTAATGTGCCACTTGCAGAGGCCTCATTCCCGCCATATGGCGGCAGGTCGAGCGCGCACGCCAGCAACCCGCCAGTAGCTCAAACCGGCAGCTGCCGCTCATTTGAGAGAGACCATTAGGAAGCTGTTTTTAGCTCCATTTTAGAATCTTTTTTTTTAGGTTTTAGGTGGAAACTCTTGCCACCACGTTGGACGCCATTTGTAGCTGGAGTTTTCCTGCCTGGCCCACAGTCAGGGCAAATCTCTCACCCGCCAGTCCCAAGCCGCTCAAACCCGATCAAGTAAACACAGAGACTTATATTGGTTACAAACTGTATGGCCGTGGCAGGCTTCTTGCTAACTGTTCTTACAGCTTAAATTAATCCATTTCTATTAATCTATACCTTGCCACGTGGCTTGTGGCTTACCGGTACTTTACATCTTCCTTGTCCTGATGGCGGCTGGCAGTGTCTCCCTCACCCAGCCTCTTGTTCTCTCAATTCTCCTCTCTTAGTCCCGCCTATACTTCCTGCCTAGCCACTGCCAATCAGTGATTTATTCATTGACCAATCAGCAACACATTTGACATATAGACCATCCCACATCAGTGTGTAGCTCTGGCTGTCCTGAAACTTGCTCTGTAGACCAAGCTGGCCTTGAACTCACAGAGATCCGCCTGCCTCGGCCTCTGCTGAGATTAAAGGTGTGTGCCACCACTGCCCTGCAATTTCGAGCTATGCTCAAACTCTTCCTAAGGCTGCTAGGCCCAGATTCTGAGAGAGCACTTCTGGACTACTTCTCTGTCATTTTTAAAATTCATTACCATTGGAAAAGGGATTTCAGCTACAGCTTCTGGGCACGGCCATCACTGAAGCCCAGAGTAGCCTTGTACCCTGAGTAGGTCCTGGCACGGTCTGACTGTGTGTTTCTTTTGCTCCTTAAAGCCACTGAGTAACACCTTACATTCCTCTTGTTTTGTCTTCCAATGTGGAGCCTCGACTCAAGCTCTTTGGCTTTCCACTGGGTCACTCCCAAAAAGATTTCTTGTCCTCCCCTCCCTGACTGAGTTAGGATTCCTTGTCCCTCACCAGGACCTTATCATCTCTGTCCCCACCACCCCCAAGCTTACTCTCAGGCAAGCCTCAGCCAACTCCCAGGAGGTTAGGAGTTTACTGTTTTATATGACGGTGGTCCTCTCTCCTGTCCTGATTCTCCAGGAAGCCATACAAATTTTCCCTTTCTCCATCTGCTGCTAAAGAAAGCTCAGGGGACAGCGTTCACTCCTGTGCCCCAGAGCTTTGTTCTTATTTTCATATGGCCTCATGTTTGTGTGTTTTTCTTTCTGTAGCAGCCTGGAATCAGCTGTCGCTTTCTGTTTCCTCCTGGGTCCTTCTACTTGCCTTTGCTTTTCTAGCCCTTTTCAAAGACGATGCAGACAGCATGTGTTTGTCCCCTTTGGGTCCTCAGGCACCTAATTTTGTTTGGTGGCCTGTCTGTGATGCCGGCTGATGGAGCAGTTTTCCACGGCTGTCGCAGGGCCTGCAGACCTCGTGGTGCTGGGTTCAAGTCTGCCTTGTCTATTCCACTGACCTGTGTGAACCTCTGCTGTGTGCTGGGCGTTGTGTGAAGGCTTGTGACACTGAGCAGCAGATCATGGATGTTCCTGCCCTCGACTGGCCTCCAGGTAGCCCATCCATGCCTATGGATTTAGCCACTAATGGATCAAAATATGTGGGAAAAATTGTATCTGTATTAACATACACAGACCTCATTACTATTCTCTATCTGCTATAACTAATTTGTCCAGCATTTACATTCTATTAGGTATTATGGCTAATTTAGATGAGTTAAAGCAGGTCTTCTGAAACTTGCTTCCACCCAGGACCTCTTTTGTCCAATAAATTTTTATATGGCCCAAGTATAGAGGTATATAAAACAGACATAGAAAGCAAACCTTTTCCCGATAGTTTATGTGAAACCAGTCTTTGGTATGCACGGAACTTTACCAGTTGTTTAAAGTGGAAGCAGGTTTACACACTGATGAAATGAGGGACTAGTTAGCTTCACATGCAGAATGGGATTTCAGCTTAGTATTTCAGACTGCAGGATTTTGAGCACCCTCAGTATTCTTCAAAGTTGATTGATACTTGGATTTTACAGTCATAAATAAAAATACTGTTTTATATAAATACACTATACAAAAATGACAAATATATTTAGTGCTATTTCAGAAATTATTGGAAAATATGTTCTAATCCTAAGCCAAAGTTCATTGAGCTCTTTTTCATGAAATTCAAATTAGCAATTCAAAACAGCAATTTTTTGTTGTTGTTGTTTTGAGACAGAATGTGTTATATAGTTCTGGCTGTCCTGGAACTTGCTGTGTAGACCAGGTTAGCCTTGAACTCACAGAGATCCACCTGCCTCTGAGAGTGCTGAGACTAAGTAAAGGTGTGCACATCATGTCCAGCTGTCCAAAACAGCATATTTAAAAATATAAATTATAGCCGGGTACTGGTGGCGCATACCTTTAATCCCAGCACTCGGAGGCAGAGGCAGGCGGATCTCTGAATTTGAGGCCAGTCTGATCTACCAAGTGAGTTCCAGGACAGCCAAGGCTACGCAGAGAAACTCCGTCTTGAAAAAACAAAACATATATAAATTATAATATAAAATACAAATTCTTATATTTAAGTAGAAGAATATTTAAAAATATTCTAAGGCAACACACACCGAAGGTATATTAATTTGATATTTACTTACTGAGGAATGGTAGTAGGAAAATATTCAAAGACTTTTTTGTAATTAAATAATCGTTTCTATAATGGCAGAAAATTTTTTATGTACATTAAAAACACCGCACAAGGTCTGCCAGTCCGTGTATGCTTTTGGTGTTCACGGCATGGGCATGTGCTGTCCATGTGTTGTAGTGTGTGCTCAGAGCCAAGGCTGGGGTGAAGACGCAGCATCAGTGATCACTGTCAGAAATGCCTCAGGTTCTTTGCTTGTCTGATTCTGAATTGATTTTTATTATTGTGTGCTCAGAAATTTTTTACTTTTGCCAAAGTTTCCACAACTCCACATTCAGTTTTTGTGTCTATCTAAAGGGACACTACCCTCAGTTCAAAAAGCTGATGCTGGAAGCATAGGGGAATGTGTAACATGCAGATTATGTGCAATTCTGCATTCTACACAACGGACTTGGGCATCGCCAGATTCTGATGTCCTCAGGTGGTCCCGAGGATTCTGATGGATGACAGTGTCATCATGAAGATTATAGATTCTGGTCTGAAAGACAGATAATAAGGGAAGGAAGCAAAATAACGCAGTGGAGAGTGTAAAGTGCCCAGTGAAAATCAAAATGGAGCGGTTGATTAGTCATGGAAGGCTCCTGACCTAGAGGCGTTAAACAGATGAAGGTCTGGAAGGCAAGAAGGGCATCTTTGGGTGGAGGCAATGCTTTACACAGTTGATACAACCAGGCGGGAGATTTCATGGAGAGCTGTACACAGGGACGGTTGCTTGTCTTCTAAAATAGCAGTTGTGAACATCTCTGACTTAGTGTGACATCCGAATGTCTCCAGTGGCCTTGGTGTCTGGTTTTCTAGTTACACACTTCCTTTACTCAGCCCTAGTCTGGGGGTGAGGCCAGAGGGAGGCTTGGCTTGTTCCTCTCTGGATGAAGCACCATGGGCAGGGCTAGGTCGTCCTTTATGTGTTCTAGGTTCTTGTGGCCTCAATGACAAGCATAAGAAGTGCTGATTCTGAGGTTGATCTGTTAATGAAAGGCAGTGACATTGGGCATGACAGTCCCCAGGACGAAGGGGGCACACTGAGGCAAGAGCCGAAACTGGTTGTAACCACAGCAGAAAGTGTTGATGTTCATTAAAGTCGCTGTCCCAATAGCAGGTGTGTGAGCCACCACGCTGCTGAGTAGGTCAGGATCCCCGTGCTCAACATGGAGTTGGTGCTATTGAGCCTGCCCCGGTCTTACTGATCATTGGTACTTCCCAACCCTCCAGGTCTTCCCTAGGCACTGGGCTGTAGTTGGCAGAGACTCCTTCATCCAGTCTTGTCTAGCAGTGACCGTGTTTCTTGAGTTTCTACTTTCTTCTGAGTGCTTTGGAGAATAAGGAAAAGGTGGATTTTTTTTTTTTACTGTTTCATCTCTTGTGACCCTTTCCCCTAAAGTCCAGTCGCTTAACTCTGTTCTCTCTGTTGTCATTTAAGGCTATGCTGACATATTAGAGGCTCTGCACACCTGCCACTCTTCCCGAGGGCTGACAGAGGAAGCTGTTGTTCTAAATCCAAAAGCAAACAGTAGCGCCACCAGGCAGCTGGCCTCCCATAGCACAGGTGAGCACAGGAACAGTGGCGTGCTTGTCGTGGAAAGGGGCCATTAGAGGTCTGAGTCCCAGGGCCGGCTTCCTCTTACAGCGTGCCTGGATCAGCTGTGGTGAGGAGGGGAGGAAGGGTGTTTCTTGACTCCGCTTTGGAAGAGTGGAAAGACTGTCGTCTAGCCTTGTCTTTTCAGGAAGATCTCCAGAGGCAGGGAGAGGGGGAGGCAGCTACTCCACTTACCACATGTCCCCAGCTCACTTTCACAGCATCTTAAATGACTGGCTGGCCGGAAGGGAGAAGCTGCTGAAGGAGAGGATGTGGTTACTCTTCAAGACTCTAGTTCTACTACGAGACTTTTTAAAAGATGGTTGCAAAACACATTCACATTATAATTTGATAGATTTATGCCCATTAAAACACAGTGTTCATGAATGGATAGTGTGTGTGTGTGTGTTTCTCGGTATTACTAGGTGCAAAGGGTGGGGTTACACTACACTTACATAGTCAGTGGTTGTTTAATGGGATCAGTATGGTTTACCAAGACAACTACCGTATCACCCTGTATTGGTGTTCTAGGGCTGCCATACAATGTGCCATAGACACATTGAAATTTATTTTCATATAGTTCTGAAGGCTGAAAGTCCAAGGTCACAGGGTCCTTGGCTTGCAGACAGCTGTCTTGTGTCTTTCCATGGTTTTCCTTCTGTGTCTGTCCCATGCTCCTTTTATAAGCTTGCCAGTGATAATGGATTATGGCCCACCAAAATGACTCTATTGATATCACCTGTTTTAAAGGCCCCCCTCTCCAAATATGTCCTCATTTTGAGTTAAGTAGGGGTAGGGCTTCATATAAAGGGGTGAGTAGCAGCACAGATTAGCTCTTTACAGTTGTTAAGCCATCACCACAGAGAGCAGACCTTGGGAGTTTAAAAAGTATAAGGTTTAACCTTGAAAAACAAAAAATTAATGTACGTTTTCCTGAAAAGAAACAGATAAAACACTTCAGTACAGTGTGTGTGTGTGTCACAGTCTTGCTATGCAGCCCACGCTGGCCTCAAACTTACCATGTAGCACAGGCTGACTTCATACTCATATAGCCCAGGCTAGCCTCCCACTTGAGATCCTCTCACATTAACAATCCAGTGTTGGGACAGCAGGTGTGCCACTGTGCCGGACCATTTTATTACTTTTCAGAATTAGTTACACGCTTCCTTATTCTTCAAGATTAAGAATATCCAAATATAAAAGTAAAGTATGTTTCACTGGTGGAGATAAGGCCACTGAAGCTGTGTCTAGGCATGGAGGGTGCTGCTTACTGGTGGGACAATTTCCTGATGTAAAAGGACTCTGGACTGGGAGGGAGGGGTGAAGTATTTCTACTTCATGGATTTATTGTTGCATGTTCCATCACCCTTATCATTAAAAATTACAGGCACAGATGTTCCCTTAGTATAGACTCGTGACAGTCCCTGCACATTAGACTAAGAAGCCTAGATTCAGGGCAGGGCACAGAGTGAGCTGCCAAAGCCGAGGCCTGCCCAGCCTTCATACTGGGCAGGTGAAAGCCCCTGGGGTTGGGCGTTGGCCTGGTTCCTGGATTTATACAGGCTGTGGAAACAGACTGGAGTTATTAAATGACAATACATGGCCTCTGATCCTGAGTTGGGACTTTTCTGCTTTTCTCAGAGAATACTTGATTTTGTTTGTTTTTCTGATCAATCTTGAAACCAGTGCAGACTCCTCCGCAGCTTCCACCGGCTTCCTTCTCAGCTCCACCCACAACACCCACACAAACAAGAGCTGAGAAGGCAAGGGTATTCTTGGGTCTAGCTAACTTACTTTATCCCCTTCTCCTAGAAAACACTCTGAAGGGCCCATTAGAATGCTGCTGCTTTCAACAAGAGGTGTGGCTGGGCTGGCTTTTTCTGGCTCCCCACTGGAGTACCTTCATCCAGCTGCTCCGGAAAGCACCCAACAGGGCCCTCCTGGGAAGCACTGCCCAGTGTCAGGAACAGGCCGCCTACATGCATGTGCAGCATACACCACTCTGAATTCCGACTCTGATGTGAATAGACATTGTAAGTTACACCAATGTCACCAAAGGCCAACTAGTGACTTCATTAGTCAACTGTTTCCTTATTGCAATTAAAATGAGGATGCCCAGATGTTTACTTAGAGTTGAGGAAGGATGCAGTATTGTTTGATACGTGAGAGAGTTACTGTATGTGTGTGTTAAAGTAATTCCCCAGAGTTCTGAGATAGGTGGTGTATTTCTCAATGACACAAGATCCGACTTGCCATCTGCTCTGAGATCTCCTGGGTCTCTGGCCAGGATTGTCTAGCAGAACTCGTGTCTTCTGCTTTCTCATCTCATCCCATTTCCCAGCACACAAAACTCTCTGCTGTTGCCCATCTTTGCTTCTTCAAAGCACACTCATGGGACATGATTTCTCTTCTAGCTTAGCAAAGGTCCAGAACATTTTCCTTTTCTCCATTCGGAGTAGCACCATTAGTCTCAATTCCTTCCTTTGGTGATTTTTTTCTTTCTGGTTTTTGGTTTTTCAATACAGGGTTTCTCTGTGTAGTCCTGGTTGTCCTGAACTTCCTTTGAAGACCAGACTGGCTTCGAACTAACAGAGATCCACTTGCCTATGCCTCCCGAGTGCTGGGATTAAAGGCGTTTGCCACTACCGCCTGGCCCTTTGGTGATTTTTATAAATTGTGCTAAAATACACACAACATGAAAGTTTATCATTTTCACCATTGTTAAGTGAACAGTTCAGTGACACTAAGTACATTTACAGTGTGACACAACCATCACCCCCATCCATTCAAAAACTTTCTCATCATCTCAAATACAAAGTCTGTACACATTAAGCATGAACTGTCTACTCTTTGTCCCAGTTCCTAAATGGCTCCATTCTACTTTGTGAACTAGCCTAGTCTGGGTGCCTTATCCAAATGAAAACGTACATATTTGTGCTTCTGTGACTGGTTTATTTCATTTAGAAAAAGGTCTTCAAGGCTTTCCTGTTGTACAACAATCATTTTGTACACCATTCAGATATGTTGCTCTCATTGGTTTAATAAAGAGCTAAATGTCCAATAGCTAGGCAGGAAGAGGTTAGATGGGACTTGTGGACAGGGAGAGAGCTGGGATGAAGAAGGGCAGAATTGCTGAGAGACACAAAGAGAAGCAAAATAAACATGGCTGTGCTGAGTAAAGGTAGAACATCGATAAGAAATAAGGGTTAATTTAAGTTTTAAGAACTACTTAAGAACAAGCCTAAGCTATCGGCTTGAGCTTTCATAATGAATAAGAAGTCTCTGTGTGGTTATTTGGGAGCTGGCTGGTTGGACAGAACTGGCTGGAGGGACAGAAAAATCTACCTACACTTACCCATGATGTATAATGTTTGAAAATTTCATTCCCTATAAAGGAATCACATCCAGTGTATATGCTATATTTTGCTTTTCTATTCATCTATTGATGGATTTTCTTTTGTTTCCATCTGTCAGATGTTGGGTAAAATGCTAAGAAAATCACTTTGTAAGGTTCTCTTTGAATCCCTTCATTTTGTTAGTTTTGAGTATATTCTTAGTAGTGGGAATGCTGGATCATGTATCATTCTATGCTTCATATCTGAGTTTTTTCCCAAATCAAACCATTTTTGAACACCTCCTCACAGGTCAGTATCACCAAGAGTGGAGTCATCATATACTTCTTGGTTAAAGTAGGACCACTCCACTAAAGGGAGAGAGCACCAAAAGTCTTGTGGCACCATCTCCTTCCTTGATGAACAAGCTAGCTTGGAAAGGGTTGAGAGATACCTGGTGCCAGACAGGAAGGACTGAATTCCAGTCCCAAAATTTATCACATTTGCCCTCTTGAATGACTAACTAAACATTCTAAGTGTGGTGGCTTGAATAGGAATGGCCCCCATAGACTCATGTGTTTGAATGCTTGGCCCATAGGGAGTGGCACTAGTAGGTGTGGCCTTGTTGGAGGAAGTGTGTCACTGTGGGACAGGGTTTGAGATCTCATATGCTCAAGCTATGCTCAGTGTGGTACACAGTCTCCTTCTGCTGCCTGTGGATCAGGATGTAGAACTCTCAGCTCCTTCTCCAGCACCATGTCTGCCTGCATGCTGCCATGCTTCCTGCCTCAGTAATAATGGACTAAACCTCTGAAACTGTAAGCCAGCCCCAATGAAAGGTTTTCCTTTCTAAGAGTTGTGTTCATGGTGTCTCTTCACAGCAATAAAAACCCTAACTAAGACACTAAGCAATAATTTCTAATGAGGAAAGTGTTTATTTTCCTCATTAGATAAACAAAATGTGCTATGTACACACAATGTGACTTAGTGTCCTTTTTTAAAAAACACAATTCTTTATTGATTTTTTGGGAATTTCACATTATGCACCCCAATCCTGCTCACCTTCTAGTCCCTCCATTTCTACCCTTCACCCCTGCAGCATGCCCCCAAAGAACCTCCCCAAAATGAATTAAAAACAAAACAAACAAACAAACATAAAATCACCTCATTCCTCCATCTTTCCAACAGTTCTTCATTCATCTTAGTGGCATTGGGAGCTGCAGTGTGTCACAAAATATATATTTTTGTCCTATCAGCCCCATCTGCAAATGCTTATTGCAATGAGCCATTGGTCTGATTCAAGGCCTCTGGCACATCATCATCACAGGACCCTCTGTTGTAGAATTTTATTTTAAGGTGTGTTACTTTTGTTTATGTTGCATTCGTTTAGCTCTGTAAAGCTGTGTTACTGTGCCTGTCTAAAACACCTGATGGTCTAATAAAGAGCTGAATGGCCAATGGCAAGGCCAGAGAAAGGACAGGGAGGGCTGGCAGGCAGAGAGTATATGTAGAAGGAGAAAACTGAGGATCTAGGAGCCAGAGAAGAAGGAATACTCCAGGGGCAGCTTCCCAGCTACACAGCAAGCCACAGAGTAAAAGTAAGATTTATAGAAGTAAGAGAAGAGGAAAAGCCCAAAGTCAAAAGGTAGACAGGATAAGTTAAGGAAAGTTGGCAAGAAACTAAGCCAAGCTAAGGCTGAGTATTCATAAGTAATAGTAAGCCTCCATGTGTGATTTATTTGGGAGCTGGGTGGTGGGCCCCCTCAAAAGAGAAAAAAACCCCAACAACATTTTGGCATTCCAACACGGGCCATATTTCCATAGGACCTGAGAAAGCTTTAAAAGTAAAAAGAAAAGAAAAAGATATGGCTCCTTTAAGAGGTGTTGCTGTTCAGCCAGCAGGGCAGCTGCTAAATAAAAACCACAAGCTAAGTAAAAACTGCCTGTGGCAGCACAGGTCCTGGCTTCCACAGCTAGGAAGGTTGAATGCAGTTTTCAGTCAGGAACCTCTGGTGGGCTTTAACCTTGGCTTTCCCAACCCAAGGAGCAGGCGGAGCCAGCTGAGAGCCACACGTGGAGAGTCCAGGTGTAGGTTAGCAGTTTAAAAGTTTGCTCGTGCTGTCAAAAAAGACTAGAGATACACAGTAAAAGAGATCCAGACAGAAAAACCTCTAAACAGGTTACAGTGTGCTTAACAATGTGCGTAGGCTTAAGAAAAGGAAAAAGGTATAGTCATATGGGAAAAAAGAGAATAGTTTATAAGATAAAGTCTTTAAAGAGAGAGTAAAAGAAAAAAGCCACCTAATATGGGAAATACATAAGTAGTCTGGATCCTGTATGTATTGTGTTAATTTTGAATTTTTTGGTTGTGGAAAAGCAAAAGACAGCTGCAAAGAGACCTGGAATTGAAAGAGGGACTGTTGAAATAAATCAGCCTATATATTTGAGGAAAGCCTTAACTTTTAAAAAGTAAAAAAAAAATGTATTTGTCAAATGGAAATCAAAAATGCTTTGGAGTTTTGTTCCCACAGGAGACTAGAGGCTGTGGATTCCTTCAGGGTTAATATGGATCAGGTTTGATCAGGTGAGACCTCCTGAAACTTGACAGGTGGTATCTATCAATGAAGGTTACTGCTGGTCTTCCCAGGACTTGGTCATTATCTCAAAACTTTTTCTCTCTGGGATCATAAAGATACTTCATCCACAGAGAGCAGGAAGCAGTATGAAGAAAACTATGCCTACATTTCCAAGAGTTAGGGGGTATGAGTGATTTTTGTTTATTTGGTGGGTTATGGATATTTGTTATTTAGGGGAATATAGAATATTGATATAAATTTAAAGTTATTTTGTTACATTTTATATATGTTCCTTCTCTTATTTAGAGGATTTTTGTATATTGATAAAAATGTAAGGTTATTTTTGTTACAACATATTATATGTATGTTTCTATTTTTGTTTGAGGTATTGTGCCTATGCAGTTCATTTAGAGATGTAGGGTTAAGTTCTAGTTTTTGGAAGCTATTATTATAAACTATGTAGGACAATAAAGAAACAGAGGTCAGTAGTTAGTCATTTATACCAATCAAATTTGTAGATATGTTAGGTGTGTTTTCTAGGTTAAATTGATATATATTTTAGATAGATGATCTTCAAATATTTCAAAGATCTATACAATATGGCATTTAAAATATTTTGTTAACTTGAGGTTATTCATGACAATGAGACACATCTGCTCCTGGCAGTACCTATTTACTTCAGATATGGTAGGCATTGAAGAAACTCCTTATGGAGCTTGCTTTTACTGTTGCAAGGTTGGCCACTGGGCAAAGAAACTTCTTGTCTTTGACTGCTGACAATGTGCTGTGCAGACTGGACATGCAGGACACATAGGAAAAACACTGTTGAACTTTGCCGAAACAAGTCATGACAGTCCTTTAAAATTCCTGCTTCACAGAAGAGTCTGCCAAATATTCTGCAGGACACACAGGAAAATGATTGACAAACTTTGCCAAAACAAAGCAGGACAGTTCAAAATTCCTGCTTCCTAGTAAAGTCCACCAGATACTCTAGACCTGTAGGCTGAAGATGGATGCCCTAATGTTGTAGAGGATCTTTGGGTGACTGTCCAGGCAAGCAAATGTCTCTATTGTTAGATAATATGACATCCTTCTGGGTCTTTGATGGAGTTGGAGACTAGATAGTTGTATTATAGTTGCAGTTGTTCTTAGTTACAATAGATAGTAAATTAGGTATAAAACTTTGGATTCACTAAGATACAATAGATAATACACTATTTTCTTTGAATATGCTAGCTACAAATGGATTGAATATTGTAAATTAATTCTTAGTTGATAACTGTTTTGTTGTATGTAGTTTTACTATGCTAAAGTAAAAACCTTTATTTTTATTTAGGCAAAAGGGGAAATGTAGAATATTATTTTAAGGTGTGTTACTTTTGTTTATGTTGCATTTGTTTAACTCTGTGAAGCTGTGTTACTGTGCCTGTCTAAAACACCTGATGGTCTAATAAAGAACTGAATGGCCAATGGCAAGGCCAGAGAAAGGACAGGCAGGGCTGGCAGGCAGAGAGTATATGTAGAAGGAGAAAACTGAGGATCTAGGAGCCAGAGAAGAAGGAACACTCCAGGGGCCAGCCTCCCAGCTACATAGCAAGCCATGGAATACAAGTAAGATTTACTGCTAGAGTCTGCAAGAAAATGAAATAGAGATTCAGCTGTATATGATAAAGCTATACCTCGAAGGATCAAGGAACCCTTCTGGAGGAGAAGTCAAATATCAAGGAATATTTGATGTTATTCAGCTTTTAATATATCAGCTGTTTCCTGCTATCAATTTTTTGTGTGCTCATACTCCTACACCGTAATGGCAAACAATATAAGCTCCTCAGACCTACTACTGATCTGAACTAGGTAACACCCCTACAGAGACAAAGCCTGTCTCCTAGGCCTAGGAGATGCATAGCTTTGTTTCTTGTGCAAATGAAGTTCAGACCCTCCTTCCTCTAACAGGCCAAATGGCATTCCAGAGCAATTGACTCAGAGCAAAAGGGATTTTGTATACCATGTGAAGGAGGATTGAGGCAGAATTCCTAGCTTGGGTGAGAGTTAGGTGGCCGGAGAAGAAAGAATAAGGCAGTGTTTCCGTAGATGGTAGGGACTGGGTGAAGTGAGGACAGCAGGAAAGGAAGGAATGAGTATGGATGGAGGAACTGAGGATGAAGATGAGATCCATAGAAGAAAAGCTTAGTTAGGGCTATGAGAGGACAGGAAGAGAAGGGGCAGAGAGAAGCTGAATGTGAGAACAGAACTGAAGCTGTGTAGAGAGAGAACTCAGGAAGAGAAGGGACAGAGAGGAGCTAAATACAAGAATAGAACTGAAGCAGTGTAGACAGAATTTTGTCTTAGAGAAATAAAGTGAATGGATGAAAGAACATGGTGTACATAGATTCTTTTCCCTCAGATTACTCCACACCGGCCATAGTGTTTTCCCCACGACTCTGGAAGAAATCTTCTCAGGGCAAGCCCCTGGGAAAATTTCAATATCTGGTACCTTTGAACACAGCACTCATAGGACCAGGGGAAGAAGATATCCAGGTATACCCTAGGAGAAAGGTGTCACTTGGTGGAGGCTGTCCAGAGAAGAGGTAAGCCTCCCTGAAGAGTTGTAAAGGTGACCCCTGAAGGTTTCAGTTACAGAACAGACCTCATCAAAGGCTGCTGCAGACCCAGGGATCCTCATACCTTGTGAATGGTGAAGTAAGAGACTGGAGAAAGCCCAGAGGCAAAAGATATATGGGATAATTCAAGTTAAGGAAAGATGGCAAGAAACAAGCCGTGCTAAGGCCGGGCATTTATAATTAAGTATAAGCCTCTGTGTGTGATTTATCTGGGAGCTGGGGGGCAGGTCCCCCAAAGAGCACAAGAGTAAAAAACAACAACAGCCCTCATAGAAACTCCTCTTGGATATCCTGCTGTTGTCCTGAGTCATGGAGATCCTACACTTATTGTTCCACAGGACTGGCCAGCAGATATAGATGGGGTAGATGTTAGGTGGGCCAACCCAAGACCCAGGATATGGGTGTGGGTAGTAACTGAGCTGGTCAGTTCAGGCCACTGGTACTGACCCCCTCAGGTGAGGGGCAGAGCCAACTCTTCTAGACCCATGCCACTGGGGCCAGGTCTCCCATATCTGTGGTGATGGATAGGGCCATCTCTCCCAAGTCCTGCCTAGCTACTGGCCAATCAGCATTTTATTTATCAATCAATCAGAGCAACACATTCACAGCACACAGAAAGACATCCACAGTACTGGCTCAGCGTGTCCCTTGGATTTCAACATGTATGGTTCCTATGACCCCATGTGGTAACACAGGCCATGGACATCATCAGAGACCCCCACTACAGCAGGAACATAGACCCAGACATGGCCCTTGGCAGCAGCTTGGGCTGGACATCACCATTACCTTGGTGGCAGCACAAGTCACAAAAATCAGTATGGCCTCGGCAGCAGCAAGGCCCTCAGACACTGTGGTAGTTTGAAAGAAAATGGCCCCCAAAGGGAGTGGCACTATTAGGAAGTGTGACCTTGTTGGAGGAAGTGTGCCACTGTGAGGGTGGGCTTTGAGGTCTCTTTTGCTTAAGTTTCCCTCAGTGTGACAGTCAACTTCCTGTTGCCTGCAAGACTCTCAGCTCCAGCACCATGTCTGCCTGCATGCTGCCATCCTCCCTGCCATGATGATAATGGACTGAACATTTGAAACTATAAGCAAGCCACCTCAATTGAATGTTTTACTTTCTAAGAGTTGCTGTGGTCATGATGTCTCTTCACAGCAATAAAAACCCTCCCTAAGACAGACACCAACATGGTCTTAGGTGGCTGTCCAGACCCCTGGCATCTGCACAGCCCTTAGTAGCAACAGGAGCCACGGACATTAACCCAGACCCTGGCTGCGGTAGGGCCACAGACCCAGACATGGCCCTATGCTGCAGCCTGGACTGGTATGATGACTTAGTTTCTAATGACAAAAATATTTACTTTCTTTAGCTATAGAGACAATGAAATAAGACAATGTTGTAAAATGCTTGTCACAATTCCTGTTATGGGTGAATTTTCAGTCAGCAGAAGCTGCTGCTGTTATTATTTCCATATTTATAGATGAAGGGGCCCAGACTCCTGGAAGGTAACAGTTTTTTGGCTGCTTTATAGCATTCATTCAATTGGCTTTGAAATGTCTCTGTATATGGTTGTCTTTCTATTTCTACAGTTTTTTTGTAGAGCTCAAGCTGTGATCCTCTAGTGTATCACAACTTCTCTTTTTCTTCATCTCTCCTATTCTGCTTTCTGTGGATATAACTAATACA